CTTGACTTGGTGAAACTAAAATTGTGTTGGTCCACAGCCACCGTTTTCCAGTTTCAACAAGTAAAAGCATATAATGAGAACAGAATGCTTATGAACCAGCATTCCAGAACGGAATAACCTTACTTTTGAGTCTTGTATCTCGCTCCTCACATGAAAACAGATGGGCACATATATATATTTGTCAAAATCTCCACACACACCTCGTCTATTGAACATGATAGAAGCTAGAGTCAAGGCAGTGATCCATAGAGGTACAATTGTTCATATTGAAAAATAAAAGGACTTTTAAAAGTGTAACAACCCATTAGAATTGCTGATTGTACTTCACTGTACTACCCACCGTTCTTTGCTAACTTAAAAGTTGTTTACTATATCATCTTGTTATAGATTTGGTCCATCATAGCTATAGTAGGATATATTTATCAAGTCATAGTACCGCAATAAGCAAAACCTAAAACATGCCAAGTTATATGCCCTTATCTGTAGGCCGAGTAATTATGCATAAAGACGCATTGAGAACTCGGGAAATAACATATGCATAAAAATCTACATCTTCAAACATTTTTCTTAATCAGGTTATTCACAAAAAATCTACATCTCATGTGTTTTACTTAATCAAGTCATCAATGTGTCGATCCATGACCATCGAAACAGATTGCAAGAATGCTGCCTCACTTGTTTCTGGGAGCACACCCTCTTGTTATAGATAGATGAGAGTTCAAAATAATTGATGGCCAGAGACTTGATGGCCACATAGATATCATCTTGTTCGAAGAGCAAGAATTGATGGTCACAGACTCCTCAAGCAAAGATAGAATGCAAACTTTTCTTTATAAGGATAAAAATTGCAGCGGAGAACACGGAGTACGGATACAACCATGCTCTGATATCATTGTTAGAATAATAATAACGGGGCGAGAACAACATTAGCGTACCTGTCAACGCAGCGGAAGAATTGTTGAACTCACCACCGAAACAATTGCCCCAAACCGAACTTTGAATCACTAGGAAACACAGTTAATCTTCCACCAATTAGATGCCCTTACTTGTGTGTATTTTTCGTTGGGAGAAGAAGAGATTCATAGAAATTTTTTACTGTATGTAGTTCTATATTTTCTCCTTCACATAAATAGGCAGAGAAATAACGGTTAAGGAAGATAACCCACCACTCACCCCTTTTTGCACGTTCAATTTAGTGGGTGTTTGTGGTCTAGTGATAAACCTCTCTCCCTTATCGCTCCTAACCGGGTCGGGTCAGCCCACATGGAGCGACCCATGACCCATAATCCAACATTAACTATTTATGTTCCTTTTCTTTCTTGAAAAATGTTTTGTGATTTTATGGATATAGTATTTATTCCTAATCCTGAATCATTGAAATGCAGCTTTGCACATATCAGGACACGAGATGAATGAAGAGGATCACAAAAAATCTGAAATGGTTTTGAGTATCTCTTCCATGCATTAATTGTCATTAGGCTGCAGGGTATGTGTTCTCATGATCATTCAATTAGAAGTTTTAGCTTCATTTTGATGCTGAAGAGGAGTATTTTTGTGTGTAGACCTTTTCCGAGGGCACATACCTCCAAAAGTTTTAGTATAATTGGAAGTGTTGATGAAGGTGTGACTGAGGTTTACCAAGCAAAATGCAAATTTAATTTGGAGGAGTTCGATGAACGACTACTAAGTTATATTTCAAATGGAAGTTGAAAGTCATGTTGAATGCTAACAATGGGATTACAAGATCAACCGTCAAAGGATTGGCTTGTATTGGGAAACAATGTTACATGCTTTTATCCTACTTTCTTGGGTAAATATATTTGAAGCACACGTTACTTTGATAATAGTAATGAGGACTACGGATTACTACAAGACTAATATCATATAGAAGGTTTCCGGATGAAACAGAAGGAAATCAAGAGGAATATAGGGAAGATTTATTCTGCTTGAAAATGAGCATTTTCTTTTCTTTCTGCACCTTAAAAACTGAAGGCTGTCCTGTGAACATCTGGAATGAGCTAAAGCTGGAAAGTATTTAATTCTACATTTAATTTCTTAAATCTCATTCTCAGTGTTCTTTTGATTTTCATTTACAGTCCTCTACATTTGCTTTTATTAAGTTCTGCAGGTTCAAATTTGTTTTTGAATATAGTGTATCTCTTCTTTTTGTTCTTTCTAGATTTTAAATTGTAGGAGTGTTCATGTATTCATTTACAAACAATATTTCTTTCTAAAATTTTACATAGAATCAATGCACAACCACGAGAATACTGCAATACTCAATAACTAATGTATACCATTTTTGAGTTTTACAGACTTTGACTATATAATATTTACTGTTTTATTTATAATACAATTTTGTTAATTTTTTTGGTGATATTGTGAGTTTTGTACCTAACAGGAGGAAAAATTTATATGTGTATAATGCATGAAAATCGTATATCTTCTATCTCAATTAAGTTTATAACAGGATCACATTATATTTGTACTATTTTGTTTCGCGGAAAAATGCACTAGTGATAATAATAAATATAGATAGCGTTGATAAATCCTTGACGACAAGACCACATTTTTTGTGTCTTCGATATAAGTTTTATCCAATTAATCACCAACAACTTCCACCCGGGGAATTTAGTAATCCCTGAATCCAGAAAATTTGAATATACTCCAAAAGTTTACGGGTTATTCATCAGTAGTAGGAGAGCTTGACGATGACACTAAGAAGCCATTGAGACCCCAAGTGGAACCTTTTTTTTTTCACTCTGCCACAAGACTTCGTCTTCTTCCCCAGACTTTGTCAAACAGTGGAAAATTCTCATTAATTTTTTTAGTTGTCATTGAACAATGCTCATAAAAACCAATTGGAATTGTAAACATCAAATTTATTATTATATTTTTAAGGCATTTTTGCAAGAGGTGTCAACGGTTCGAACTCGTGACCTCCTGGTCATTGGCAGCAACTTTACCGGTTATGTCAACGCTCCCTTGTTCCACACGTCCAATAAATTAAAAATAATATGTGCGCCACATTTGGGCTATATTCTATAAGTTTGTCTATATCTGCTTTTAATAATTGAAAACAATTAAAAGAAGGGATTATTACCTAGCTACACTCTATTAAAAACTTATTTTACCAATGTTCTCTATGTTTTGTAACTTTTAATAAGTATCTAGGTTTTTCTTACAAATTGTGTAGATTGCTCCTTAAAAGGCTCTCACCTCATTATTAGTACCTTCAATTAAGGGATCTAATTATATCCTTTCCTTTTTTCCCCTCTCCTCTTCTCTCTCCTTTTTTTACAACCAAATCCCTTCATCTACGCTCAGAATCTCCATCTTCTCTCTTCCTACCATTGCCGATAGCTTTATATTATTAAATCATCAATTGTATCGTTCTTCTGTTGGGAGACCAGACAACACTGAAAATGAAGAAATATTCAGCAATTGTATGATAACTATATCATAATTGTATTTAAATTGTATCAGATACATCAATACGTAAAACATAATTGTATCATACATGTATCACAATTGTATATAACTAGTAGATGGTACCTTAATATCCAAAAATAATACCTGATACAGTACTAATAAATTAATCTATAACTATCATATATTTGTTATACAAATTGTGAAATTCGTCACGAACTCACAACTGCTAATAATTAAGATACAATTCCAAAACTTCTTCTTCCTCGAGTTTCAATCTGAAATTCAACCTAAAACCAACTTTAAACTTACACAATCTCCCTTCAAATTAAGATATAAACTCTAAAGGATATTTTCAATCGTTTTCAAGAACACTCAATCCAAAGAAATCACAAATTCGTAAAATCCGAATATCTAATTCAAAGTTTCGAACCTTTTTAATGGTATGTCAATGGCAGACCTCTCTACCTGCCGATGGATTTGTCAATAGTTGAAGCTTTTTAATGGTTGTTGGTGGAATTGGTTCAGCGAAATATATGATGCTACAATTTTAGAGAGATAATAGTTTGATTTGTATGAGAGAGATATTGGTGGATTTGTATGAAAGAGAGAATGACTTTAATTTTTTTTGAAATTAGGAAGAAAATCGTGATTTTAGGAGGCTAAAGCTGATAGATGGGAATGAGAGATACGTTACAAATTAATTTCTATATTTAAGGGATCCTTCTTTTATTATATTTTGTACATAAATAGTAAATAAATAGTAAATATAGATACACAATGTAATTCTTAAGGAACCTAAAGAAAAGTGGTTAATAAGTTTGTAAAAATCCCATTAAAGAAATGGAAACTAACGACCCATTATTAAGGTGGAAAGAGAGGAGGAAGGTGCATAACGGGACTAAAATTGAGAAAAAGAAACATACGACGATATTTAAAAGTGCAGAAACACAAATCATGCCACTATTTGACTGTCTATAAAAATTAAATTCCCATTTTAAATTCCTTAATGTACATTATAAATAATCTTCTTCAGAAGTTCAGATTTGTGTTAAACTTCGACCCCAATTCCCCTCTTCTACGTCTCTGATTTGAAACCAAGCACATAAACAATATGTTCAGCTCCTCACAATGGCTAGTGTCATTGTCTTTCAATCCATTTTTGTCCTCTTTTTTAGCCCTTTCACTCATTTCCTTCCTTTTTATGAGGCTCCTTATGACTAAAACTAAAACCAAAAATCTTCCCCCTTCTCCCCCAAAATTACCATTTATTGGTCACATGCACAAACTAGGCTCATCACTCTCTACACAATTTAGCTCAACAATATGGACCCTTAATGTTTCTTAAACAGGGAAGTGTGAATACACTTGTTGTTTCCTCAGCTGAGGCAGCTTCCGAAATAATGAAAACTCATGACCTTATTTTCTGTGACAGGCCTAAATCCAACATCAACAAGAAACTTCTTTACGACTATAAGGATGTTTCTGTCGCGCCTTATGGCGAGTAGTACTGGAGACAAATGAGAAGCATTTGTGTCCTTCAGTTGCTTAGTACGTAATCTTTTCGCGTTATGAGGGAAGAAGAGACAGCTCTTTTACTAAAGAAAATCAGTGAGTGTTCTCCAGAGGCAGTGAATTTGAGTGAATTGTTTATGACACTTACAAATGATATAGTGAGTAGAGCAGCTTTTGGGAGGAAATATAGTGGAGGGGAGAGTGGAGAGAAGTGTAGGAAGCTAATGAAGGAATTTGTGGGAATATTAGGTGGATTTGATTTTGGGACATTTCTGCCTTCATTTGCATGGATTGATAGAGTAAGTGATTTAGAAGCAAAAGTGGAGAGAGTTGCAGTGGAGATGGATGAGTTTCTTGAGGGAGTAGTGGAAGAACATTTAGATAATCATAAAAGGGTGAGTAACTTATTGGGTGGAAGAGTGGAAAATGAAGGTAGAGAGGACTTTGTTGATGTTTTGCTTGGGATTTACAAGCAAAATATGGATGGCTTTTCCATTGATAGAGTGTTGGACTTTAAGCCATTGGGCTTTAAAAGAGAAGAAGTGTGAATTGGAAATGGAGGGAAATAAAATGGAGGGAAAATGAAAATTTGAAGAAGTGAACTTTTGTCTTGCACTTTGTCCCTCATTGGTGAGGGACAATCACATTTATGTGCTTATATATAGATTCACTTCTTAAAGCTCTTAAAAGGAGTTGAAGAGAATGAACCCTCGCGCCGTCGTCGCTCGGCTTTGGATTTGGATAAGATTATTTTTGGACAAAATTTATTTAATTATTTAATAATTAATTAAATGCCAAATCACTGCTGAACGTTCAGAGGGCCTCGCTGGCCGCGGTTCTGCCGCGACCGCGGTAGAATCGCGGCAGTCAGATTCAGAGAAGCTCTCTGGCCGCGGTTCGGCCGCGATCGCGGTAGAACCGCGGCATGCCGCGTATTTTCTGAAAAGGCACCTTTCCAGACACCTCTTCTGATATTTGCCTATAAATTCTGAGGCAAGGCTGCATCTTCCAGATACGAAAAAGACTCTAGAACTTCTTTCTTTCTGAATATACTGCATCCTAATTCGCAGTCTCTCTCTCTCAAATTCGTAAGTGTGATTTTGCTCCGTTCTTTGAGTTCGTTGGTATCCTGCAGTTTGTATTGCCACTGTTGCAGGAAGGTTTATTCCATTTTATCCTGGGAGGATTTAATCCAATACCTTGGCAACGTGTGAGGGGATTAAAATTCCTTAAGGACGCACAAGAAAATTGTGGACTCGGAATATTTCTGATTCTTTACTATTTTATATATTTCTTTATTCTTCTAACAGTTTCCTGAATTTTGTTTTAACTCAGTGACCTTCACATAGAGATGGTATCAAAGCTCTTATTGTGGTAAGTTCTTTCTCTGTACGCGCTCTAGCATTGTATTGTATGGTCATCTTATCTAAAAATTGATGAGATGATCATATTTTAGAAAGAACAACACACCTTTTATTTGCTTCAATTATACCTAAATTGGAATTGGATCGGGAGTTGGTTATAGACTATATAGACTAGACTAAATGAAAGATGGACTAATGCTTTAGAAAGAAATGTATTTTATCCTAATAATATTGCATCTTAGAGCAAGACAAATAATTACGTTCTAGAGAACTACTTAATAGCTAAAATAGCAATATTGTAGGAAAAGAAAGAAGTTAGCAGAATTAGACATCAGATATTTCATGCATGCATCAGATAGTTAGCACTTTGCTTTTGTTTCTCTTTTTCCCCATATGAATAACATTAGCAGTCAGGTAGAGTTGCAACTACTACAGATAAGGCACTCATGATCAGAGATTAATAACTCCAAATATATTGTTTTATCGCAAATTGAGCATGATGTCATCCTAACGCTATCTAACCATTCCTCACAATATGTTGATGCTGGTTAGCGTTGTTCAATAAATAAAATTACTTTTATCCATTCCCACTTTGGAATTCTTTCGCTAATTCAGTTTACATTAATATCTGAGTCCCATGTTTGTTGGGCTCTTTTTTTGTTTTTGTTTTTGTTTAAAGAAGTTCACAAAGTTTAAAACTTCCGATTCAGTTTACATCTACATAGAGTCTCACGTTTGTTGGGATTTTTTTTAATTGTTAAACCTGAAAATTCAATAAATAAAATTACTTTGATCCACGTCTGGAATTGGCTCCCATATTTGGAATTAGTCGGTTTTAAACAATATAAGATAGATTTCAAAAAGAAACAGGTAGAAAGATTTTTAAAAAAGTCACGATCATCTTCCCAAACGTGTGCATCCTACCCTAACTTCATAACTTATCCACTTTCTCCATAACTACAAATAATGTTTATGCGGCTCCTCTTTTAATTTCTTTTTCTCTTTGCTCAGAATATAGAACTTTGCAAATATGGCTACAAAACTTCATGATATCAGATAAATTTCAAGCAATTCGATGCAGGAATTTGAAAGTTGTATTTCGAATATGGGAAATCCCGGATTGCTTCAAGCCAGAAATACCATATTCTATGGAGTTGATTTTACAAGATGTAAATGTAACATATTTATAATTGCTTTTATTTTAATATACTTCCTCTTTTCTGCTGCTATAGTTCATAAATTTTCCAAATGTTTCAAGTACATGAGATTTTACAAGATGCAAAAGTAACTTACTTAGGATTGCTTTTATTTTTATATACTTCCTCTTCTCTGTTGCTATGGTTCATAAATTTTCAAAACTTTTCAAGTACATGAAAATGCAAGTGTGAAAGTATTTGCTTCGTACCCTTATTTCTCTTACGTCACTTTCGCAATTGTTTATTAATTTCTGGCAATCCTCAAATAGGTGGAACTATCTAATTGAAGTGATTATCTATTGTAGTCTTATTTCTATTTCTGTTTTTGAACGTCTGGTTGATAATTGTTTACTAAATTCCAGCACTAATAAATTATTACCAATATAATACATCCTAATAATTTATCTAAGAAAAAAATATTATGTTCCTCCTATATGTATGTAAATTAAACTGCTGCAAATTCTAAAAATATGCATGTTCAGCCAAAAAAGATTTACAGTATTTGCTGACAGTTGTTTAGTTTCTGAAATTACTGCAAATTCTGAAAATATGCATATTCATCCTAAAAAATTTACACTTTTTGTTGACAATTTTTTACTAATTTCCAGCACTAACAACTTATTATCAATATAATACATCCTAATAATTAATTCAGTCTGTTTCTTTAAAGAAATAGAAGCAACAAACAGTCAACCAATATGTGGTAGTACTAACTGTTGCACCTTCTTAATGATATAGGTTGATGTGAATGGTGGTAATGTTGCTCCACTCTATAAATTTATGAAATAAAGCAAAGGTAGCAACCAATCCCTTTGCTATAGTTGCTTTCCTTGAGCATATAGCTGACAAATCTTTCTCTCCATGTATCCCTGTAGAAGGACATCTAGAAATTATTCCCGATTGCTTAAGCTCTAGATTGGCCTGGTTCTGCACTTTTTGCTGGAAACAATGAATAAAATCCATACCAGTTATAGTTCTTTTTGAAGTTTTTGGTGATGCTTATGTGTTCTTGACCGTGTGTATTCATTTGAATCTCAGAAGTCATAAGGTTCAATTTAAGATGTTTAGCAGACTCGATCATAAAGCATGCATTTAGTCCAGAACTCTGTTGGTGATGTTTGTTTTGTCCCTTAGTTATCCTGATTGGTACGCATTTCACTCCACCTTCTAGAGGTAAATCATGATTTTGACTCCATGCATTCTGTTTCATATACGTTCTATATTGGAATATTTTTCAGGTCTGTTTGATTCTATACTTGACACTGCATCTTTATATTTTATTGCTAGCTTGGGTCAGTTTTAATACTTGAAGCATGTATCTGTGATTCCTCAATGCATGGTTATAAAGCCAACATGTAGTATTCCTTTTAAATAAATACTAATAATAAAAAAAAAAAACACAAACAACGTTAAAGTGCATCTTTAAATGACAAAACATGTGGTCAAGTTGCTTCTTTGTTGCCTCACATGAAAACTCCAAAGAATCTGTCAAATCTCTGTTCATCCTGTGAAGCACATCTTAGTTTTGTTTAGTCCACGTTACATATCATAGGTTTTGTGCTGTAATCCATGCAGTATTTATATGATTTCAGTTATATTATGCAGTTCTCATTGGATGCAAAGTGGCTTATTGGCAGGAGGTTTACTATACATCTGTACAGGGTGACATGAAATTGAGGTCTATTAAGGTTATTCCTGAACCTGGTAATAAGCTAATGATTGTTGTAAACAACAAGAGTGCAGAGAAGCAGTTTGCGGCTGAAAAAATCTCTTCTATGGTGCTGACAAAGATGAAGGAAATTGTTGAGGCCTACCTTGGCTCAACTGTCAAGAATCCGTGGTGAATGACTGCATACTTCACATATCTATACATTATGACATGGAGATATTTACGTCTAATTATTTAATAGGAGTTTAAGTATTTGCCCAGGTACGAGTTAGCCTTTGGAGCTGTTGATGAATCTATACTACTATTTATAATTACGGCATCTGCTACTACTGTTGATGCCAAGAATTCAAATTATATTTGAAAGCTCTACCTTTGTTCTTGCTGATCTTATAATTCCTTCCAATTGTCAATGTATAGGCTCAATAGTCAATACTAAAAAATTACAAATAATATTTTCTTTTCAAATATTATATTTTATATTTGTTGTAGTATATTTCAAAGTTTTCAACATAAACATGATGCATAAATTAAAGGATCAGTTTTCTTTTTATTAATCTATTCTCCTTTTATCTCTTCATTATACAAACTATCCATATCAATCCATTTTAGAGAGAGAGAGAGATTTACACTCTCAGTCACCTCGTCCAAGCTTCTAACCAAAATAAGTTTTGACTTTTAGCCCTTACCTCGATTGGTCCATATAGTATATAATTTGAAGATTTTGAAACCTATGTCACTTCCCATATTTCTCTTCTTCAATGAAGCCCAGTAGCCGAAGCCGAGAACTTTATCTAGGGTGTTCAAACTTAAAAATACTAAATAAAAAAAATCCGATAAAAGGGTGTTCAATATTATATACCTCTAAAATCTAACATTGCTGTTAATTGACGAACCCCATTTATTGATGTGTTTAGAGCTTAAAGAGTAATTAAATTACTTACTTTGTATAATTTGAGTAAGGTAAATCGTCATTATTGGACAAGCTTGAAGAAGTGGTATGAATTTTGGATTTGATTTTTGTAAAAATTGTGGAGTGCGTGATATTTACACTTGTTGGAAATACTCTAACGAGATTGGTTGTCTACAATATTTGAAGTTATTTAATGGATATTTGAATTCATTTTGAACAAAAATTGTAATTGAATATTGCACAAAAAGTTAGTCTCTATAGCTAATGACGTATTATATATTTTACTATATTGTTATAAACTTTTATGTACTATTATACACTTTTATATAATGTAAATATATTATTTATATTGTATAATAATATAAGTATGTTCTAATAATATTGCAAAAATATTGAATGTGCGAGTGTAAACTACAATATATCTATGAGGGTGTAAAATGTTATGTTAAGATACGTATTATTTTTTTTATTCCGGAATGGACGGTTTGAAACTTTCTCAGTGCACATTAGCCTAAACGTACACCGCCATGGGAAGGAGAGCAAAACTGCAACTCCGACGATGAATTTGGGTGCGACCAACGCAGGAAGGGTGGGAACCAAGGCGGTGGCCAAGGGAAAAGGATTCCTGAAGTTTCCAATCCAAAACTTAATGCAACCAATGATTGAAACAACTAGCGGTAAATTGGTTAATTTGACAGAATTTCAACAAAATTTAGCTGAATTGGTGATACGGGAGACTAATTTCGATGGAGAGGGGAGCAAAATGAACCCATAAATTCAGAGGAGTACACCGGTGAAGGAGCGAGTGGAGAATTGGAATGAAGCAACAAAAACCTTGGGTATAGGGGGAACACGATCAAGGGCTGACGAGGTCGAACTTGCTAAGAAGAATGCAGGTAAGGAATCTGAATCTAGGGCATCCGTTTGGGATAATTTTGATATATCAAAAATAATGAGTGTTGGCTTTAAGCTGGAGTTCGTTAACCCTACTACTATAGGGGAATAGAGGATATTGGAAATTAAAGATGACGATATTGTTATAGAGATTGAGTACTGGAGAAATTTTATAGTGTGTTATGTATTAGGAGCACATCCTCCATTTGCAATCCTAAATGGGTACATACAGCGAAACTGGGGGAAGTTAGGCATAAACAAAATAGTAATGATGAAGAATGGTATAGTCCTGGTCCGATTTGAGAATGAAGAGGGGAATAATGAAGTCATTCAAGGAGGAATATATCATTTTGATAACAAGCCATTCATAGTAAAGGCTTGGAATGCAGACATGGAATTTACTCGAGAGGAACTATTTTCAGCTCCTATTTGGGTCAAATTACTGGGTTAGACTTTACGTACTGGAGTGTAAAGAGTCTGAGCAAAATTGGTAGCTTAATTGGGAAACCTCTCATGGTGAACAAGAACACTGAAAAGAAACTTGTATTGAACTTTGCAAAGTTGTTGGTTGAAGTGAAAGTTGGTAAAAATTACCAGAGCTGATTTACTTTAGAAATGAGAAAGGTGTTATGATTGAACAAAGAGTAACATATGAGTGGAAGCCCTCTATATGCTCAAGTTGTAACAAATATGGACATACAGAAGATATTTGTAGGATAAACAAGGCAATAATGGAAGTTAAGGAACAAGAAGGAAGCAAGCAACTAGAGATGGTTACTCAACAAAGTGCTACCAATGAGGAGAATACAGTGAAAACATAGAAGGATAAGGGGGTCAAAGAAATGGGGAAGGAGAATATGCAAGGCATATGACAAAGATAGAATCCCAGGAGGGGGCATCAGGGATGGGTGCAACCTTATAAAATTAGTCAATGTTGTCAATAAGACACATTCAGTAGTGCATGTGGCTAATACATTTCAGAACTTGGAGAAGGATAAGACAGAAACAAATACTGCTAATGGAGGAGGGAAAAAAGGGAGTGGTATCATCTTCCCTATAGGGGATGGTTAAACAAATGAGTTGGAATACAAGAGGTCTAAATGGCCTCAGTAAGCAGAAAGAAGTTAAACTCTTCTGCAATGAACAGAATGTTGGATAAGTTGGGCTACTAGAAACTAGATTAAAAAGTACTAAGGTGGAGAATATTATTAATTCTATCTATATTTGTAGGGTGGTAATACTATAGTAATCATATCTCACATTATAGTCGTAGAATTGTGGTAGTGCGGAAACCAGAATGGTATGAGGTGAGGATCATTAATGAAATTGCACATGCAATATCTTGCCAAGGAAAGTATATTTCTATGCAAGTCACATTCATAGTCACATTTTTGTATGCACATAATCTCATAGATGAGAGGAATGCATTGTGGGACTATGTGCACCCGACGAGTGTTGGTGTCAACTTCCATGGATAATCATGGGAGACTTCAATGCAGTACTGCAGCAGAAAAACAGAATTGGAGGGAACCAAGTAGCACTCAGTGAGGTGGTATACTTTCAAGAATGTATAGATAAATGCATACTTATGGAGTTACCAAATAATGGATACAAGTACTCATGGAATGACAAGCAGGGGGGCTAATAGAATCTGCTAAAAAATAAATTGGGTATTTGTTAATAGGGAATGGATAGATTTAATGTAACAATGTAAAACTCATGCACTTTCAGAAGGGGTGAGTGATCACTGTCCATTAGTGGTAGAGATGATCCATACACAGACAAGGAAAGGGAGAGCTTTCACATATTGCAATATGTGGAGTAAACATTCTGAGTTCATACACATTGTTGAAGAGGTATGAGCAATGCAAGTGGAAGGGCATAAAATGTATCAGATAGTAAAGAACTTAAAGGCTTTGAAACAAAAACTCAGAACATTACACAAGAGAAACTTTAGAAATGTTATAAATGAAGCTAATAAAGTTAGGGAGGAAGTGCAGGAAGCAAGCTGTCACGACTCAAACCCCGATCCGGTCGTGATGGCGCCTCTCGTGAAGATAAGGCCAACCAACCAACCCATTTTGCCTTTTCAAAATAGTTAATATTAATAAATAGTTTTAGCATAATTAAATAACCACAGTCTAAACAAAAGCTTTCTGTATTAAGTGCGGAATACAACCCAAACATAGCCCAAACTGGGGTGTCACAAGTCACGAGCGTCTATTAGGGTATAAATATAACTGCAAGGCCTGAAACATATAAAATAGGACTGATAAACAAAAGGAAGAAGTGCGGTGCTGCGAACGCTGACAGTCACCTCACTAAACTCCAGTAACTTAGCCTCCGACCAACTCAAAACCCGCTACCAGGTGAACAAATACCTGCATCTGCACACGAGGTATCGGGAGTAAAGTGAGTACTCCAACTCAGTGAGTAATAAAGGTAAATAATAACTGAGTAGTAAGAAATCACGTAAAACAAACCATCATGCTGTATAAAGTAGTCTAAAACCCTTCGAGTAAAAGCAGTGAAACTATAAAATCCTTGGAAAACATCTTAGCTCAGTTTAAACCTCTTTTAAAAATGACTTTTTCAACGGTTACGGAAATGAGTGCAAAACAAATAGTGCGGATAAGTACAGAAATTCGCCCCTCGGGCGCAACACTCAACTAACAGATAATGCCAGGCAATCAGATAGATATCACATGAAGTAGCACAAACAACAGATAATAAAAGACAAATAAAATAAAGTAAACACATAGAACAGTACCAGCACCGCTGCGGCGTGCAACCCGATCCATATATCGCTGCGGCGTGCAGCCCGATCCATATATCTCATCGACGACGCTCATTGAGGGTGTGCAGACTCCGGGAGGGCCCCCTTACGGCCCAAGCGCAATATCAATCCATATCGTGCCATCAAAATTTAGGCCCTCGGCCTCATATCAGTATTAGTATGACACTGTTGCGGCACACAACCCGATCCTTTAGTATCCTCACATCTGGCCCTCGACCATACTCAGTCCAGAAATCACATAAGCCCCTCAGGCTTAGTCAAAACAGTAGTTCTCAGCCCAAAACATCATTTATTATATCATTTTAGTTTCAAAACCGAATAAGAGTGGCTGAGTTGTAAAACAGTGGAAAACAGTACGACTGAGTTCAATATGTAGGTCAAAACAGTGAGGAAATAGTGATAAAAATCCCCGGAGGGTTCAAATAGTTGGCTCGAAACCCAAATATGACAATCAATCCAAATAATGATGATAACAAATAAGTTTCAATCAAATATGCGGTAAAAGCGTCAATCGGGACAGACCAAGTCACAATCCCAAGAGTAAACGACCCCACGCTCATCATCAAGCGCGTGTCTCACCTCAATATAGCACTACGATGTGCGAATTCGGGGTTTCAAACCCTCATGATATCATTTACAATCATTACTCACCTCGAACCGGTGAAATCTCTAGCTTGAGATGCCTTTGCCCCTTAAATCGGCCTCCACGCACGTCGAATCTATCCAAAATCAGAATGAATGCATCACAATATGCTAAGGG